ATAATTATCGAGTTCTAACAAAATAGTTAATTATTATCTTTATAAAAAAAATTATATTATTAAACCAAATATAAATTACTTCGTTATTGTACCTAAATTAAATTATAAAAAAATTGAATTAAAAAAATTACACAAAAAGATGAGGAATTTCAAATAGTTATTTTGATTCTAATATTGATATATTTTGTCAAATTTTTATAATATCTTCAAACATATATTTTTCTCAAAAATAAAAACATCATCGCTTTCTCAAAATCACATAAAGTCATATTATAATATCGACTGAGATAAAGAATAAAATGAAATATTAAAATCACGATGTATCTCGCTGCATTGTGCGAGTACCCTTCTAGTATATATATATATACACACACTAGAAGTGTACTTGTGTAATGCAGCGAAATACATCTTGATTTTAAAATTTTATTTTATTCTTTATCTGAATCGATGTTATAATATGGTCTTATCCGATTTTGAGAAAACGATGATGTTTTTATTTTTGAATAAAATATAAATTTGAAGATATCATAAAAATCTGACAAAAATATATCGATATTAATATCAAATTAATTATTTAAAATTCTTCATTTTTGTGTTATTTTTTAATTTATTTTTTTATTATAATTTAATTTAGGTTCAATAACGAAATAATTTATATTTTGTTTAATAATATAATTTCTTATAAAGATAATAATTAATTATTTTGTTAGAACTCGATAATTATCTTAATTCTATTTTAAATTTTATATATTATAAAATGAGTTGTTTATCCACAGTTAGTTATACAAATTCAAACATCGAGCTTTAATAAGTTTTATTTATGCATAATTTACTTGTAATCTTGAATTTTAAGTAATATGTATCAATATACAGTACTTTATGCATAAAAAATAGTTTTTAAAAGTTTTTGTCAAATGTTTTATAATATAGTGTGTGTATATATATATATATATATATACACACACACACTAGAAGGGTACACGTGCAATGCAGCAAAATAAATCTTCATGTTAATGTTTAGTTTTTATTCTGTCTCTACCGATATAATACGATTTTATATGGTTTTGAGAAAGAGATAATGTTTTTATTTTTAAATGAAATATAAATTTGAAGAAAAAAAATTGATATTAGTATTAAATTAACTATTTAATAGTTCTCTTTTTTTGGTGTAACTTTTTTAATTCAATTTTTTATTATAATTTAATTTAGATATAATAACAAAGTAATTTATTTTTGATTT